ATAACGCTTTCCGGTTATAGTTCTGAAAGATTTTGTTATAACCCTCTATATCCAGTTCATGATTCATATTTGAATTTTATGGTTCGTCATCGCGGTTATAAGACACCTCTTGAAAAAATAAGAGATTTTTACGGTATTTGGACTCTAATATCACTACTTATTCTTTCATGTGCAACTTTCATCGTAATATGGCTGATAACGAAGGACTTGTCATTCGCAGGATTTGAAATCCTACGACTTTATATTAGTTGTGGAATTGAAACGAAAATAGACAGGACATCAAAACGGATTTTCTTCATGATGATTTTTCTGTATTTTTTGGTATTTCATGCAACTTTTAACGGTCATTTAGCTGAATTTTTAACACACCGTGAATTTCAGTCTAATCCTGAAACAATTGACGATCTAGATGATCCTCGATATACCAAAATAATGGGCCCTTTGGACGCAGGACAATTTTTATTAACTCATCGAATTTATGAAAAATATGAACTAGTATTGAACATAAAAAATTGTATAGCATCACTTAATCATTCGGAATCAACTGTTTGTATTGCATCTACTGATGAATTATATCTTAATGTAGTTATGTTAAGTTTAATGCGTGAACAATATAATATATTTTTCCATATGCCGAAAAACTCTTTCGGCCTAACACGTCATTCATTTCTTATGAACTTTAAGTCTCCATTAAGATCTCGTTTTAACAATATTTTTTTAAGAGGTTATGAAACAGGAATATATGGCCGATTTAAGGATGAGGAATATGGACAATATATTATCAAATATAAAATGGAACTTGAGAAGAAAGAAGTATCTATCACTCCTATTGATCTTGAATCATTGAAATTTGCATTTATAATATTGGCAACAGGAATTTCATTATCAACTACTGCCTTCATCGGTGAAATATGGATAAATAAAAAAAAAAGAATTAAACAAGAAGAAAATAACCGAAATTTGACTAAAGACAATCTATTCAACTTTAGGAAAAGAAACATGGCTTGGATTCATCGACGAGAAAAATGGCCACAGAAACTGAAAACAAGGACGGTAAACACATGGTTTGAGATGACTTAATTATCCTGTTTATCTCCATCACTTATAATAAGTAATTTTCAAGTTATCCGAAGTAATTATTTCACTAAGACACCTTTTAAGTATCAAGTTTACTTATGACAACCCAAAATTCACTATTGAACAGAAATATTTCTTTTGTCATACCCCCACGTAAATTTCGATTTTACTCCCTGTTCAGACGCCGTAAAGACCGACATTTCTTCCTTGCATAAAATGACAATATTTGTTTGTGCGCATGTCTATGCGCATGTTGTTCTTCTTTACAAGGCAGAACGTCTCGCTTTACTAACCTCTAAACTGAGAATAAAATCGAAATTTTCGTGACAATATGGCAAAAAGATGTATTCACATTATGGGAATAAACACACTGTAAATCCCAGTTTTTCCAAATGCATTATTTTAATGTAGATAAGTGTGTTAAATATGACGTCACCCATTTGATCAACATTGTAGTCACTTTTAACGCATTTCTAAGTATGTAAAAAGTGACTATAATGTTAATCAAATGGGTGACGTCATATTTAACACACTTATCTGCATTAAAATAATGCATTTTGAAAACTGAAATTTACAGTGCATATAGTACTTCTATTCATGAGATTTTATTACAATTTTTCTCACTGAAGAAATACTATATTTTACTCCCTTGTTAAGAAATATACTACATTTCTAAATGTGAAATTGTCACTTTTTACACTTACATTTAGTGAAAAATTTCTCTTTGTGTACGACACTCAATATTAAACAGTCTCAGCGTGTTGAGACTAATTTATTAAAATAACTTTAAAACTTCTTTGCGCTTTTTATTGATCAATTTTTCAATTTATTAATGCATTAAAAATTATTAATATTTGTTAATATATTGGTTAATTTGTTTTGGATCTTTGTGTTCTATTTTACCCCATCTTCGCAAATATAGGGCCACTTTTTAGGAGTGATGTAATTGTATTTTTTAATAAAAATTAATTTTAAAAATAAACAACCTATTAAATAATTAAAAAATGTGTTGTTAAATAATCCTGTCAAAAAAAAATTATTAATTTTAATTATTATAAAAAAAAAAAAGTAGAATACAAAATAATAATTATTTATTTCAATTGATTTTGCTAATTTGCTAGAATTGACCCAAGTAACGAATTTCGCTTACTATTTCCTTCATAAACTCCCGGAAATTATACCGACGTCTATCAAATATCCGTCAGTCTGGTTAAGTTCCTCAAATTTACATAGAAAAATTTAAAAAATCTACTTTAAGAAAAAAAAAAAAATACTACTAAGATGTTAGGATGATTTTTTTCAAAGAATATCATAAATAATTGTTTGAATATTCAAACAACAATTATTCAATAAGGATTTAAATAATAATAACAAAATAATTTAGCATTGTATCAACGTGTATTTGACAGTGATTTTTTTGTTTCTTCATTGTTATTTAAAGTTCATTCATTGTGTTTATTAACGGCACACATTTTTAATATTTCCTTTTTTTCTTTTATCAATTAAAGTAAATTTTTTTACGTACAAATGTGTTTTAATGTAATTATTTATTATTTCATGATTCGATTAATCATTTTCATTAATTACATACTTTGGAATGGTTTTCTTTTTTTATTGCTAATTGTTACATTACAATGAAAATAATTAATTTTGACTTTGGCAATAAAATTATTTACCAAATCATCGCTCTAATTAAAATGTTCATTAATTACATAATATTTAAAAATATTATTGATGGTAAAAATAAAAAAAAAAAAGAATTAAAGGTGAAATAAAAAAGAATAAAAGCGATGATAAGTTGACAATTGTATTGTTTATTTTTTATTTAAAAAAAAAAAATTGTCTAAAAAAAATTCTATTTAAAAACAATTTTCATGATTTTTGGCTTAACATTTCATTTCTCATAATTATTATTTTCCCCCATTTTATTATACAATTTTTCAGCAAAAATGACTATGAAGCATACTCTCATATTTCTGTTTGTTAACTAATTAAAAGCGAATAATAGTCATTATTAATTTATTATTTAAATAATTAGATGTTTTTACTATATTATTATTCTGAATTTATTTAATTTTCATATTAGTGTGCCTAAATATTATAAGTATTAAATATTTTACAATACACATTTTTCTATATATATATTTATTTATTTTTAATTATATTTATATATATATATATCCATATACATATATATATATATATATATATATATATATATATATATATATATAATATTTATATTTGAGTTTTTTCATTAGTTTATTATGTTTACTATCTATAAAGGAGTAGTCAGATTCATTTTTTATACTTTTAATCCTGTCACTGAATTAATAATCTTTATTTTTATTTTTCACTGTATATTTAGTACAATAAATTAAATGACTATCCTTCGAAGATTGATTATTATTCAGTACGTTAATTATTTTTTCTATTGAGTCTCATTTGATTGTTTATTAAAACAATTCAGATTATGTAGAATAAATTTTTAATTCGATAAAATATAAAATAAATTACTTTTGAGGAATATTATTAATTTAGGTCATGATAATTACATAATTAATTTGTTTGAATTCACTTGTAGTTTATTTTTCTCACAAACCACGTGGCAATTTGGTGAAAAATACAAATACTAAATAGTCAAGGAACATTCTGCCATATGAGATTAGACTTATAAGATATACAAAAGATGAATGAATTTTTTTTTTTATTTGTTCATTACAATATTATTTAATTATTTGTTGGTTTTTTTTTATCTCATCGGACATGATGTCAAGTTATAATACCATTATTACAATACAATATATCATACGTTATATTAGTTTTCTGTTATTAAATTATAAGCGTCAAATTGTATATGATTTTTTAATAATAATATAACAATTTATTCATATTTTTTTTTCTGACATTTTTGTTTTTATTCAATGTGCGTTTATTGTTTTCCCTTTTTTCTTTCAGCTAAATTTTAAATATTTTTTTTTCATTGTTTTGTTTAATAAATTATTTTAATTATGTTTTATTAATAAAAAACAACATCAAGTAAGGCCAAGTAAAATTAAATTATTAAAAATAATAAAATTGACAAGACAATAAGTACTTTTAAGTCGAAAATAAATTGATAGAAGACTTTTTTTTTTTAAATAATTAATTAATCAATTAAAAAAATTCTTCAATTCTTTTACACTTCTTGTTTACTTATTTTTTTTATTTATTTTTTTCTTTTTTTTTCTTTCAATGGAACAAATGCTCCTGGATTGACAAAAAATTTATTTTATTTCCTATAATCTAGTAATACAGTCTGCAGTATTTTTTCTTTACTTATGCAATTAATTTTATTTTTTCTTTCACTAAAAGATTAAAATTAAGTTTCCATTTTGTATTTAATTAAATGTATACTTTTTCATCATTATATATATATTACACATGCTCACACAATATTATACCTAATTAAAATAATAATATTAATTTACAAAAATGTATAATATCAATAATATTGATAATTAATTAATTAATAATTAATGACAATTAATAAAAATAAAAACATAATTACATTCAATTATTCAATCATACAAAAATACATACGTACATAATTCATACAGTCATTTGTAAAATTGATTATATCTATTGTGATTTTATTATTTCTTCAATTATTCATTGTTTATTATCATTTGTTTTTTGTTCTTTTTAATAACAAAAAGCATTTTTCCATAAAAAATGGTTTTTTTATTACTTTTTTTTCATTAGAAAAATTAAAAAATACTTTGGGCATTTAAATATACAAAGAGGGTGATATTTTTTATTTTATTTTATTTAAATTAATTTATATTTATAATATATTTATTTATATAAAAAAAAAAATTAATAATGACAATAAATTAAATAAATCTAAATTTTTTTAATGATTAAAAATGATCTACATAGTTTATTCCTTTATCATTGTGTACACATAATATAAATAATGTCGATAATGTAGAAAATTATCTAATAATTGTTTTATCAAAGGAATAAACTTAAATAACACCCCCTATGTACCGATTTTAGCAGCTTGTATGTAATTATATATACATACAGACGACAATATATAGGCTTTATTACGCAGGCATATTTGAGGGCGATAAAACGCGACTTTGGCCAATGTTTATCATACAGGCCCAGTAAACATACATTTAGCAGTCGCATTTTATTTAAACTTTTAAGAGAGGCAGTCTTGATCTTCGAGCCATATTTTTTTATTTATTTATTTTTTTTTTTATATCCTGAAAAAATAGTGGCTCAATATTTACTCAAATCCGATAAATGAGCAGGATGTCGTCTTCGTGGACTAGCGTGTAATAAATCGTCATGCTTTAATCGATTCGTATGTCGATGACGATGTTGTGTCGTTAATTCTCTTGGCACTTGATCAGCTTGAAGGTAATTTCGCTTTCGTACCAATCCTAATTGATGATGTTGATACTGATGGTCGTGAATCTGTTGGTGTTTTCTGTGAATTAAATCACGCTTCTTGTGATCGGTATTACCAGTCATCCAATCGTTGTGATCGTTAATGCTGAAACTTGGATTAAATTTCATAAAATTGAAACATTCTGCTCTGCCACGTTGACCTTTTATTGGTTTCCCATATTTATTAAATCCAAGGTATTTCGAACTATCTACTGCACTTTTGTATCTTAGGTAAGGTCCATTGTAGGTCTCGTAGAACTGGCACATTGCATCTCGCTGTTTTTTTGGCTAAAATACATAATAATAATTTTTCATTAGTCACATGAAGTAATAATCATTTCCTTAAAAATTAATGAGCAAGAAAATTTATAATTACATCGTAATTGTTTCAAAATTATTGATGGTAAATGTCAAGAATACTAGGTTATCTTCTCTTGAAGTCCTGCTTTGAGTTTACTATTTGTGAAAATCAGTGAGAAAGAATGTATATTCACCGATTTGCAGTTATAAAACCACTACTGTTTAAATTAGTGCTACTATTATCATTTAAAATAGTAAATATTCATTGATTCATGTTTAAAAAAACAAGGTAGGCCTAAACAAGGTTATAAAACGGACCTGTTATTGAAAAACAGGACTTATACTGGTTTAATACTGGAAAATGACGGAATAATAACACCTAGCTGGTTATTGTAGCATAAAAGCTACAATTACCCAACACAGAAGTGTGGTTTTTACTTAATCGTTCATTTTGTGCTGTGAGGAGGTTTCCTATACCCTTCGCTGTCACTTTTATCACGCAAATTACGCATTTATTTACTAGTTCATAGTTTCATTTTTTTTTTTATAGCATAGTAGAAAACTAATATATTTTTTTAATGCTCCTTAAGGCCTACAGTCAATCAAACAGTTAAAATAAGCCCTGTTTAGAACCTCCATAAGGGAAAAATTTACCGTAAATAAGAGATTTTTTTTTTAATCATTAAAATCGAAATTTTGAATAGTTGAATTGAAAAAAAAAAATACTTTATCCAGTGTATAAATATTTCTTTGGCTCAGCTAATGGACCTTCTGTGGCCCTGCTAATGGTTTTATTGTAGCATTTATTCTTGAATATAAATAAATAAATGAATTAACCAAATTTTTAATCAATAATTTGGTTTTTTCAAGAGTCAGTACCCTCATCTTGACATTTACCTTTGTATCAATTTATATTTGGTTTATAAGACTAAAAAAAATTGTCAATAAAACTTATATTTTATCTTACCAGAGCAACAGGTTTCCAGCGTTTGTTGAAACAAATATACCGCTGAGATTTCTCGGCAAAGATGTACAACTTCCTACTGAAGTCATCAGACTGTGTCGTCAATTTTTCTGTAAATCAAAGTTAGAATAAATAAGATTAATTTATTTTTGTCTCAACCAATCATCTATACTTTATAATATATAATAGAGAAATTTAGTGATAATAATCCCGGAAGTGATATTTAAAAAATAAAAAATATATTATGGTATGTGCGAATGGTTTTGCAGAAGAATGGAATAGAGTACGAAAGAGTATTTCTTAGAAAAGAACTCTTCTGAGGTTTATGGCGATTTGAGTTGTACCTACATCGACGGGGGACCCTCTTTCCAAGCACTTGCGTGCCAAGTCAAGAGATGAGAATAAAGACTGGCCAGCCGCGACTAGTTGGTGCTAATGAAGGAGACACAGACTCTGTGTGGTGTGTGCTCTACCACTTAACAGTTCAGAGTACCTGCCACTCAACCTTTCTCATGTCGAGAATTATGAAATACACGGTAGATACCCTTTGTTCATTTTATTTAAGTATAAAAAAAAAAAATAATGTCATTGTAAATAGAGGCCTTTTGTTAAATAATTCGATTTAAGTTAAATATAAAAATAAAATAATCCTAAATAGTGAGATAGATAAAATGTTGTTTTTTTTTTATTTGTATCCACACGTGACCTGATTGCCCCCTGATATTCATGAGCCCCACCTACCAAGCCTATCATCGGTGGTAATCGTATCTAAAAGCCGGTGCCCTTTTGATTAAAATTGGCTTTTAATTCATTCGCCAGCCTTTAATCTTGAACCCGTTCCGATCAGATGTAAAACTTTCTATGATTTCACATCTTCAACAATAACTTGTCCTATTTTAATTTACCCAGAAAAATTGATTTTATCAAAAACCGAAAATTAATTCTTGATTTTATTCATCATTATTAGAGATACAATATAATAAACACATTTACACACACTCTAACGTGCAGCTTAAATTCCCTATCCTACTTTTTTCAAAGAATCAGTGAATATTCACTGATTTTCAGTGTCAATCCAATCACATAATGCATTAATAATAAGATTGACACTGAAAATCAGTGAATATTCACTGATTCCCAGTGCCCATCGAATCAATAAATTAATCAGTCGTTGGATTGACACTGAAAATCAGTGAATAGTTACTGAAGTGCTGTAATTTCACTGATTTAATTTAAGAAAGCATTTAAAATATGTGAACAGTTTTGAAGTCAATTAGAGCAGCCTTGCTGCAAGGATCACATCCTGTACCTCTAAAAATATTCACTGATTTTCAGTGCCAATAATAGCACTAATTTTTTTAGAGCTGTAAATCAGTGAATGTTAATTATTTTCAGTGATAATAATGGCATTGATTCCAACAGTGATTGTTTTATCACTGCAAATCAGTAATCATACACTATTTTACACTGATTTTCACTGATTTATTTTCATAAAGTATATATTAGTAAATTCTCTCAATAATTCCTTTAAAAAAATCAGTGAATATTCACTGAATGTCTTCACTGAATGAATCAATATTTGAATTATCACTGGAAAATCAGTGAATATTCACTGATTCAGTGTAAGAATCCTCATCCAGCATAAATTGATGTTAATGTTAATTATAAGCTAATTAATAATGATATCGATAAAGAATTAAATTAAAAATTATGCATATAAATAATTTAATTGATTAAGTATAGGAATAAAATAGTAAAAATTAAATTGATGTAAATTATGAAGAATGTCGAAGATGTTATCATGGTAGCAATAATCAAAATAATCAAATTGATCGTACAGGCATCTTCGATTTTAATTACATTAATCGATGCCAATTTTTATGATGAAATAAATGCAATAAAAATAATGAGATATTGTATAAAAATATGAAATATCTAGCTTCAAGGCGAGAAAATAAATTACGTTGTGTTGTAAGGGAATAGCAATCGGCATCCTATCGCGAGAATATATTCAATTAATTAATGGAAGCCGCACAATTAATTGGTGGGTTGTGCTCCTGGTAGAACATCAAATCAAGCCACCTTAGTCAACTCATTGAGATGAGTTGAGTTCAGATTAAGATACTTGCTTTTTCTCTTCTAAATAAGACTCATCAGGTAGTGATGATGATGATGATGATGGTGGTGGTGGTAGTGTTGGTGGTAAATGATCCAATACATGGTATAAATTAAAAAAAAAAAACTATCGTGTGTGATGAATATAAAATGTTCAATCTTTTGCATTTATGAGGCTGTTTATAGGAATTCTTGATTTTGATGTTTCCAAGACAACTTTTATTTAACGAGAATCGATTGGCCACCCTGTGCTTTTCATTCTGTGTGGTCTGCTGTCATTTTTCTTTCATATATTTATCAATTGTTTTATAGACATTTTAAAATAATTATATCGTTAACTAATTATATGTCTCCATCTATATGTTAATTGACAAACGACTGAATTAGTTGTTAGCAACACTTTTTTCTTTATTTATTTATAAATTACAATCTGTCATGAAACGACAATGAGTAATTGTGATGATGGTGAGTTTGATTTGTTCAAAGGATTTTCCAGAAATCATCACTTCGTGGCTTAGGTGAATCTTTTTGGTAGATCCAAAGAGTATTAACAACACTTGACTGATTTATTTACATTTATTTAACAAATCTTCTTTTAATTATGAATAAAAATAGAATTAGTTGAATCAATATTTTTTATTTCATCCTATTAATTATTAATAACTAAAATAAAATAAGTAAAGGATATTTTTAAAAATACTTTCATAATAATTATTATAAGAAAATGGCTCTTAATGACTTTCGATTTGCCTTCAAATAGCCGGATAGACATGACGATGACGTAGAAATCATCACGAAGTTGGAATTTAATTAATCTAGTACCAAACACTATGATTATCATGTCAGTGGAGTAAACCAGACTTCACCTGTCGTACTTCTTTTAGCATCATGTTTGAGTTCAAGACCGTATAGTGTAATAACATATACATAAAGTGATGGTTTATGTTGGTTGAGAGTTTGAGAAAATAAAATAAATTTATAAGCGAAAAGAAAAAATAAATGGAATAAGAAGAAGAATAAAACCACAGCAGCCAATCGTCCGTTTAGGTGTTAATGATAGGGTCACTATACACGTTCATAACAAGAGCAGCTTTCCACGCAGGCTCATTTCATCTTCTTGCTTTGTATTATGACTTTCATGATGCCGACCAGTTGCTTCAGCAGGGGTTCTCTTTATCATCTAGAAATTCATTTGAATTTTTCTAGGATATTTTTTAAATTTGTTCTTTCTTTTTTTTTAAATATCATTTTTTGATGCTTTCACACCAAGAGTACATTGAAAAATCCATAACCATCGTGTTTTAAAGGTTGAGAAATTTTAAACGTTAATCGATGAATGTTTTTGGAAGATGATTTGACTTATTTTGATTAATTGACATGGGATACTTGAGAATGATTAATAGTTTAGACTCTAAGGCGGTTTGTTTTTATCTAGTTGAAATTTTGTTACTGGTAAATATTAAGAAGAATAGAAAGTAAAATACTTACGAAAAGGTGCAATCATTTCATCACGAGCTAATGCTTTAATCGTGCGTCCAATCACGGTAATATTGCCGCTGCTGCAAGTCGAGTAGAGACTTACGGAGCGCACCATTGCCGGCACCGCCCCGCACATCACCACCTAAAAAATAATCCATTCATTAATATTTATTTTTTATAAAGTATCTTTGTTTATAATAAATAATAAAAAATTATCACCAATTGTCTAATTAAGTTTTTTAATAATATTAATTATTAGAACAAAAAATTTCATTAATAATCACTGGGTTTAACTACACTGAAAAAACAGCTTTTATAGGACCGGAAAAGTTTATTTTAACTCAGTCGGTATTTTGATGAGATAAATACGTGTTTCTACGAGCAGTAAACGTTTCTCTGTAACGCCAAAACACCAGTTTTGTGATGTGATTAAAACTTGCGATAAAAATCTGTTTTTGTCATACTCACACGGAAAGTTCACTTTTCCATCAAAGAGGGGGGGTTGAACTTTCCACGTAGTTATGATGAGAAATCATATTTAGCTTTAAGGAGGATAATTAGAGTAGCTTAAACCACGTGTTTACTACCCTCGCCTTCGGCTCAGGCTGTAATTTTACACGTGGTTTGAACTAGACTACTTTCCCTCCCTAGGTGTGAAATGTACTATTACGGACACGTGCTGATATACAATTGTTTTGCGGAAGAAGTACACTGTAAATCGAAGGTGTGTTAAAATAACACGTGTAGATAAGGTTACTGTAACACATGTTGGATGTACAGTGTAATTTTGAGGTTAATATTCATCATTTTTTAAATCGAATATATATTATACGAATTTTCGATGATTTTTAATGTAGAAAATAATTGTGCACTTCTAAAAATTGTAAGATATGGATATTTTTCTTTTATACTGTCTAAAATCATGTATATATATTATTAAAAATTTGAGGTGATACAATGGAGGTTATGTTATCCTTTTTGCTCCTTATAAGAAAACTTTCTTTTATTTTTTTACTATACGAAAAAGTTTTGTGGATTTTCCTAAATTGCGGTTTTGTGAAGAAGTTAAAATTAGTTTTGTGATAACACTGTAAACTTTAGTGTTTTATTTTAAAACATTAAAAGTGTTTTAATATGACGTCATCCATTTGATTAACATTGTCTTGATTTTAAAACGTTTTTAAGTGTTTCAACTCTACAATTTACAGTGAATAAAGACGAATTTTCTAGTCCTTCAAAAACTGTTTTAAAAATGTAAACCTTACATTAGATTGTTCCTACAAGAATATTTTTAAGCACTGAATTGAATGATTCAAACAAGGACTTATTATTAATAATTCATATTAAATCTAACTAAAGAGTGAAATAAAATTTTGCTTCATTATTCAATAAAACTTGCTGGATATTCCAGTAAAAATTAAAGGATTGATTCATGTACACGGAGAGAAAGGAATTGTAAATTTTACTCAAAAAAAAAGTAGTCTGTCGTTTTGGGTACAAAAATGGCGATAAGAAATTGTTTGAATAGTATACAAAACAATTTTTTCTTGTAAAAATTTTATTGCACATTCAAATTGCAATATTTTATATTTATTTTTGTATAATTTAAAATTTTGATTCATAATAAAATTTACAATTCCTTTTTCTCCGTGTAGTAAAATATAATTAATATTAACTTACCATCAGTAGGCACAAAATCTTCGCTAAGACGGCAAGCTGTGGTAACCTGAAAGTAGAAAAAAGAATAATATTAAATATTATAAATCATATATATATATATATCTAAAGTAAGTATAAGAGTAAAGGTATAATCAATAGCGTGTATCATAGATCGTCAGGGATTATAAGTTATAGTAACCTAGTTGCGCGACTGCAATTGCGGTATAGTTGTGTGTTGGTTGCGCAATGAAAGTGCATCTCAAGTTACCTCTTAAGTAAAAGAGAGAAAAAAAAAAATAACAGACATAGATGAGAAAATCTCGACAAGTTTAATATTTTGATTAATAATCTACTTTAAGTAATAATTAAACTCAATTTATATTTTTATATAAAAAAAAAAGCTTATTAATTTATTTTCTCATCAATATAATTTATTATACCTTTTTTTAAAAATAAAACCGATTTGTTTGAATCTTGTTTTATTAATTTTCTTGTTTGAATAATTTTTGTTTTGTTTTAAATAATTTTAAATTATTTTTCAATTAATTTAAAATGGATATTTTAAACAAATAACAATTGTAAATTTATCATTTATTCTACTTGAATATTACATCCATGAGCACAGAGAGAAATATACAAAAGCCATAATGTTTTTGTTAGATTTGAGTGTACGGAGCTGTACGTAGTGCAATTAAACTTCGAAACCTGAGCTTAGCGCGGCATACAACTCGTTGCGTATTACAATTTGATGCGTGTCGGAGCCTGCGTACATATATATGATGAATGTGCAGTAGAATGCAATGTAATAGTGTATACGAGTCGAGAACTAAACGTTTTGTGATGTCGATCTCCTTTTGTTATTTAATAGTTTTTTCTTATCTTTCTTATTTTGTCTACATTTAAATTAAATTTACATCATTCAATTAATATTAAAAATAATTTCATCTATAAATCTTTATCATTTTAAAATAGATAATAAATAAATTAATAAATAAAAATAGTAATAATAACAATAAAACAAAAAATATATTTATTTAAATATGAGTGAAATATTTTTTTCTCTCGTCAACGAAAAAGTGATAATCAACATTTATGAATGTGAAACACGTAAATAAATATGTGTCGTATGTAATCCAGGAACAAAATTCCAATGACAGTTGATAAGTGAAGAGAAAAAAAATATATAAAAATAATAAAGGTAAAAATATGAAGTGATAAATAAGAGACTCACCGGAAAAAGTCATTCATGACTGCCGTAATATGTACAAAGCCATTTTGATCATGATTTTTAAATACATTAAGTAATTAATTTATTATTAAACCAATAAATATATCTAATTTATTTTTATAAATCTTTTATAACTGATTTTATTTAATGTAAACAAAGGTTTTAATTGTTTAGTTTTATATATTTTTTTTTGTTTTTACTGCAAAATTAATTTTAATTGTGGTGATGTTTATATTATTAGTGAAATTTGTGATAAAATTGATGATGTGACATATCGAAAAATCGGAGTTGAACTGGTCAGTTGACGAGAAAGAAGACGATACAGACACCCTCATGTGTGGCACGTGGGGAGTCATCTAATAGGAATTTAGTGGGGATTATCGTGCTGTATGTAGTAAAAAAAAATTACACTTAAATGAATAAATAAGTCGGATAAAAAATGTTGGAATTACCGAAATAGTAATTATACACTTTCACGGTCATCTGGTTTTTTTTTGGCGATGAAAAATCAAAAAATCAACATTTCGTCATTGTTTTTTTTTAAATTATTTTTTTTTACCGCCAAATTATGAAAAAAATTGACAAAAGTTCCTGGATCAAAGATTTCTAATAGTTTATGGCTTTAAATAATAAAAAAAAAAATGAGTTTCTTTGAAAGAAATATTGATAAAAAATTTTTGCGTCATTGGATCAACTTTTTTCAATTTTTATCATAATCTGCATGAAAAAAAGAACAATTTAGACAAACGAAAGTTAAAATCAATTTAAAAAAAAAAAAATATTTTTATGTCATCTGGTAAGCTTCATAAACACTATAAAATGTTTAGTAAACAAATATACTTACATTGCACATCGTAGTGTTTTAATTTAAAACACTTAAAGTGTTTTGAAAAGATGTCACTTATTTGATTAACATTGTAGTTACTTCTAATGCACTTGGAAGTGTTTAAAAAGTGATTACAATGTTAATCAAATGGGTGACGTCATTTTAAAACACTTTATGTGTTTTAAATTAAAACACTACGATTTGCAGTGTATATATGAACAGAGTCTCTTTATAAACATAAGACAAGGAATATTAAATCAATTTTTTGCATGCTTTCCAATTTTTGCAATTAAAAATAAACCGAATACTTGAAAAATAACTAATTTTAACACATAATCCTTAATAAAAACATTTTTTTGTCATCAGATCAACTTCTTATATTATTTACTAGCATTTCTACTATTTTTTCATCATTATTGAATTCCCGAGACTAAATTTAAAGTTCAATTTCAACTTCAAAATCTTCAATACCTTTGATGTTCCAATTGCTGCCTATAATTTGCTTCCATTTTAGGAATCCCTAACCTCATTGAATATTTTGATGTCTTAGAGTGATCTAAAGAACCTTATTTTGGTCATCAATGTCATCACAAATTCGTACAACATCGTTTTTATGGTATTGATACATTTTTGAGGTTAGAAATGAATTTCATAAAATCCATATTTAACCTCAACTTTGTTAAAAAAAGAAGTAACAACGAATTGTAATTGAATATTTTGAGGTTAAAAATGATGATTAATGTTTATATATAAAAAATTGATGAATAAAATCATAATCACATTCATAATTTTAATTGAAAATAATTGAGAAACGTTCGAAATTGAAATAGATAGAAGAAAATTAATACAATGTTTTGATTGAATGTAATCAAAGCTAAGCATCGTCACGTTCTTTGATAAAAGAGAAAAAAAAAAGTTACAATCGGATCATTCTGACTTATGTAGGAAATTGAATTTCCCTTCTTTCATTCCAACTCACGGTCGACTTTGTCGAACTCGACGATTCTTATCGGTCGTATACACTGAGAATGCCATTACTATATACGTGACAGAGAGCAAAAGGAGAGTTGTTGTATTGTCGCTGGGGTTTGTAGGTAAATGATAGAGTGAGAAAGGCTATTTGGTGTACTGCTGACTAAAGAGATGAGGTGAGAGGTGAAAGGAGTGCAAAACAGATAAAAATACTAAGAGACGTAATAAAATATATGTTACATATATTATATTAAGTACAAAAAAAAAAAATAACTTGAACTTTATCGAATTGATGTCTCGGCTATTCTACTTCTCTGGTGCCGCATCAAGTGGTCCCGGAACCATCTTCAACACCAGAATGTGTAGATGAACAGCCACGCGACATAGTTTTTGTTATAAATACGTGGCGACGATCAGCCGCCGTCTAATTCTCTTCTTTGAACTTTTCTTTATATCTGTCATCAATGTGTATGCAAAAATTGTTTTACTTTATTTCAACAGTTATCTATCAAAAGATAATAATATTTATTAAAGTTACAATTTTTTTTATGTTGTAATAAATACGTTTGCTAACACAGGGTGTGAAAAAAATGGTGAATATTGATTATATCAATTCCCTTAAAACCGTAGTGTTTTATTTCAATGCACCAAGAATGTTTTAATAAGACGTTATCTATTTGATTAACCTTAGAGTCATTTTTAAACATTTCAAAGTGTTTGAGTAGTGGACTGTAGTGTTAGTGAAGTGAGTGACATCATGTACTACAAATCCAAGATTTCACAAACGTGTAAAAATAACACGCATAAAATGTCTATGAATAAACTGTAAATGTTTTGTAAATACTTTTTACACACTTTATAGTGTGTTAAAATCTATAGTTTGTTGATGGCATTTAATATTGAACAAGCTGAGCCTATTAAAAGTGTCTACAAAGAATGTTAAATTTGGATTTGCAGTGCATTTAAACAGTTTGAAGTTAAAAAAGTTTGTTATACTGTCAGTTAAGTGAGTGACATTATGCCAAAACACTTCGAAGTACTTTAAAATAATTTATTTTTAGGTTAACGATTTGCAGTGGAGACAAAATAATAAAAAATACGAAATACGGTAAAGATTAACTTTATGTCAATACTGAACATTGTTATGTTTTATTTCAATGCATGTTGACGCATCAAACATGTGTTGATATGACGTCACTCGTTTAGTTAACGTTAATAGTTGAGTTGAATGCTCTTTCAAGTGTTCAAAAGATTTACTGTGCTGTTAATCATGTGAGTGACGTCATATTAAAGGCGTTTTACTTCAATACACTTTAAAGTGTTTTAAAATGATGTCACTCATTTTCTTAATATTCACAGTTATTTTGAATTCACTTTAAAGTATTCAAAAAGTCTACTATATTGTCACTCAAATGAGTGACATTATATTAAAACACTATGAAATTCATTGCAATAAAACACTTTTAATCTGGCATCACTCATTTGAGTGACAATATAGTAGACTTTTTGAATACTTTGAAGTGAATTCAAAATAACTAAATGTTAATAAAATGAGTGACACATCAAACATGTGTTAATATGACGTCACTCATTTGATTAACATTAATAGTTGGTTTAAGTATACTTCAAAGCGGTTAAAAAGTAGATTTTACCGTCACTCAAATGAGTGACATTATATTAAAACACTTTAAAGTGCATTGACAAAGAAACACTTGTAAATTGGAGATTTGCAGTAAATATAAAAAATAATAAAGACTATGGAAAAGAATAGTAAACAAAAAATTTCTTTGTAAAAATTAAACTCGATAAGTATTTTCTCAGACATAAGCATTTGTAGTCGACCAATCACGTGCTAGTAGCTGTAGTAAAATAGTAAAAAAGGAGACCAAGTATATTTAGTATTGTTAGCTATTTTAATAATAAACACAAATAACGATTAAATGAATAAAAATGTTACATAATGAGTAAAGGTAAGAAAATTAGTGTGATAATCAATCTTTTTAGAATAAAGTTTTGATTAAAGCTTGAGTGTAGAATAAAT